CATAACTTGTGTGGTTGCGGGAGGTTACATGAGTTTTTGTAGTGAATCGTGCTCATTACGTATATTCTTATATGTAGGAGAAAGTTGTTGAAGCTTTTAATGCTCAAAAAGTTAATATTATGGATAGTAGCCAGGATCAATGTACATTAGAGACAAAAATTAAGGTGCCAATAGAGGGGTCCAGAGTAGAACATCAATACTCTAACCAGCTAGAATTTGATGATGTCAATGATGAAGAAATGATACTAGAGTCGGACAAGGACATTGAGGATACAAATTTAATTGACTCTAGTATAATTTGTGTCGGGGAGGCTGAAAAACTTAAAGTTTAGGTATTTGAGCATGTCGGACCTCATTCCAAAAACTTCTCTACAGTATGTTCGGATAGTGAAATGAGAATTGATCCTTATGATCATAAAAAGAAGTCAAAGGAAGAGGTAGATGAGCCTTATATTTTGAAATATGCAAGATCGTCTAGGCAAGGTGACCTCGGTCGAGAACCAAAAAGTGCATGAGAATTTACTTAAATTTCAACTCTCAAGAAATTGTGCCGCCCCAGGAGCATAATCATAAGCTTGAATCAAAACTTGCGGTTTAATTCATAAGTTCGAGGTGGAGGCAGAATGTGGTTCACGTCGTGTCGCGACGTTAAATCAGGCGCTTGTTGGGAGGCAACCCAACTTTACTTGTTTTCATTGATTTTTAGTTTTTTTTCAATTATTTTAATTGTGTTAATTTTTTAGTATAGTTTATGATTTTCTAGGAGCATGAGAAGCAAAGCCGTTGGAAGGAAGCAAAGAAAGCAAGATGGTTGGAACTAAGTGTGGGGTGCTCGCATAAAGGACTAATGTCCACAGAGAAGTTTGAGTACCCCATGAGTTGCTAATGCTTCGGCCTTTGGCCTACCGGGGAGTTTCTTTTACCCTCTTATTATTTATAGTGTGCATTAGGGATAATGCACAATTTTAAGTGTGGGGTAGGAGAAGATTGTTTGGGTGATTTCTTGTGATATGTTATGTATGTTAAAACAATATACAAAAATAATTAGGTAGAAATAATCCCTCTTGTTTTTTCTTATGGCCACAGTTCTTTTCCAAGGGATGACACTTTTAACCGGGTAGTAGTTTATTTAGGTAGAATTTTCAAAAAAATTGAACTTTTTTTGACAATTTCTTAGACCGTTTTCTTGTGGGAGTAAGGTCTAAAGAAAAAAATACAAAAAGATTTTCCTTTTATTTTTAGAAACGTTAACGGAATGAGAAGAACTTGAGTATCTATGCTTTTTGACATATTTTATGCTGGGACTTAGAGTTGTAATATTTGAGCTGATTATCTTCCTTGTGTTCTATGTGGCCACATGCCTTGAGAATATATGTGACTTTCTTTTGACGCTTAAGTTCATTTGTTGACTCCTGTAATTACTTTCCATGTGTTGAATTAATACGATGATTGTGCTTAGTTGTTTAACTTGAGTGTCAGGTTTGAGCCGTCTGGAGTGAATCATATGCATTGTATGATGTGAGGTCTTGATTACATTTTGTGATATCATGTATTAGTCTAGAACTTATCCCGTGTGTTAATCGAAGCGAAATAAGTAAGCTTTGTGAGTCTAAGAGATGATGTAGGCATTTCTTTGATTGTCCATTGAGCTAGTATGCCACTATAAAATTATCTTTAGATAGCCCATTTGAGCCTATAAATCTTTTCTTTGGTACCCACATTACAAGTCGATTCCTTTTTTGTTCTTAATTATATCTTTTTGAATCTTTACCTCCAAGAGAACTTAAGTCGCTAGAAGAGTAAGGTAAGAATTGAAGTAGCTTTTAAGTGGAACCACAGGAAGGCCAAATGGTGCACGTGTATTTTGAAAGATCATTAATCGGGCAACCCAAGTTTGGAGAGTGTTGAAAAAAAAAGAGAAAAATATCGAAGAAAATACAAAAAGAAAAAAATAGAAAACAATTATTCCTCTTAATTCGGGCTAGTGAATGCATAGTTATGCCTAAAGAAGAATGGCCAAATTATATATGATTTCGTGGCATTGCGTGCGTTGGTCATGAAAAGTGTGAATTTGAAAGTTAAGCGTAGTGTATTAAAATGCTTAGGAGGGTCAATCACTATATCCAAATATATCCTACTCATCTCATAGCCTACATTACAACCTGGAAAGATCTAATTGATCCTGAACTTCGCAAGCTTACATTAGTAGAGATATACACTATGGGCAAACCTATGGTACGACCTCGGGATGCACATGATTCTTTTTCCTGAGAGCGAGTGAATTCTTTCGATTTGTAAGTCCTTAAATTATACTTGAATGCTTATTTGAGTGTGTGGACTAATTTCTCCCTTTGATCGTGGTGAGCGCACATGATTTACAAAGGATTGGTAAAGTCCGGGCATATTGAGTTGACACAAGAAGTGAGTCATAGTAGGACATATATTGGAGTCACCTTTTGAGGTTATGATGTTAGAAGAAGTCGCACAAATATTTAAATAGACTTGGTATGAGTCTAATTTTGAAGAAAGATGTCAATAGTTCTTATATTGAGTTCTAAGTGTTGGTGTAAACCATTGTCATTGGTGTGATGCTCGAGTAATTTTTATTGGAAAGTGTTTCTTGCCATTGTACTTAATTTTGAAGGTTGCTAGAGGACAAGCAAGAGTTCAAGTGTCGGGTGTTGATAAACGGCTAAAAATGCATATTTTTCGGTGTATTTTCATCTCATAACTTGTGTGGTTGCATGAGGTTACATGAGTTTTTGTAGTGAATTATGCTCATTATGTGCATTCTTATGTGTAAGAGCAAGTTGGACGAAAGGTGAGCAAAAAAAAGTTAATTCGGCACCAAAATACAAAAGAAGAACTTTGCTCGTCCACTCTCGTGTTCACACGAGAGAGTGAACGAGCTAGCTGAGGAAAACTTGAAAAAACAAACAGCAAAAGGCATGGAAGTGCACAAGAGATTTAGGAGTAAAAGAAAAAGAGAAGTACTTCGCTCGTTCACTCTCGCGTGCATACAAAAGAGTGAACGAGCTAACCTGAAAGTCTGTTCCAAAGTTGGCTTGTATTATTTCTCCCCATCCTAACTGTATCCCATATAAATAGTCTTTAAACTCGCTTTTGAAGGGGGAAAATTCAACCTAAGTAGGCAAAAACACGCAAGGAGCAAGACGGAGAATTCTTCTACGAGTTTTTCACTTTCTTTGTCCTACTTCCATTATTGGTTATGAATTTTAGAATTGTAGTTCTACATACTTTATGAGTAGCTAATTATGTTATCTAGGGTTTTGATTGAACCTTTTGTAGGATGAATTCTTGATACGTTTTGATATAACTGAGTCTTTAAATTTTTCTATTTGTTAAACTACGTGCTTATTTTAGTTATTTGAAGAGCTCTCAATTAACAGTGCCTATTTATTATGTATTGCTCGAATAAGAGTACATATTTAGGTGGTTGTTGAATTTCGTCACTCCTAACGTATATGAGAGATCAATACGACGGGTTTTAAAGCGGGATTAGAGATAACAAAGCTTTGTGATCCAAGTGAACAGTGAAAAAGTGCGAGCTAGCGTAATTCGAGAGAATATGACTAGTATATTATTATAGTTGTTCGAGAGAGAATTACGATAAGTCGAGTACTCACGATCAGTAGAGAATAATTAGGCAAATTTATAGAAGACGTAGCGGGAAGGATTCCGACAATTGGAAAAATCATACTCTAGACCTGCTTAATCTTGTCTTTAACCCTTAGTATTTCTATTTGTTAATTTAGTTTTTTTAATTTATTAGTTAATTAGTTAGACATAAGAATTTTGATATTTATAGGTTAGAAATTGTTCGAGTTTGTCTTCTTAGTGATAGTGAGCAGTTGTAGCTAAACCTTATTTCTCTGTGAGATTTGATTCCGGACTCTTAGACCGGATTATATTTGTAGCGACCGCTTATCTTTTTTAGTACTAGAGTTGGGCGTGATCAACGTAGAATAGAGTAGTGGGTAAATTGAACTAAGTAATTGTTCTGGATTTTCTAAAACAACAAGTATTCTGGAACAACTACTTATAGTAAAAACGAAAGTAGAAAACATAGGATCAGAGGAAATACTAATTAATACTTATTTTATATATATTATCTTTTATATGTCTTTTACACAGTGAAGGGCTGTCTGGTCAAGAATAAGGAATTACAATATTGGAATCAATTGTGACATTAGTTTATAGTTTATACCACTCTATGTGAAAACAATCCAGAGATTACTAATCTGGTGATTAAAGATAAAATGATATATTTTCTCTTCTGCAAAACTTTTGTTCTCAAGTCTTCTATGAAAATCAAGGTTAAAATTTAAAATAAAAATTTATTCAGGTTTATGTAGAATTTGTTTTAAATATGTTAAATTATCCCTCATATTACCCATTTTTAGTCAAGTAAACAGATGTTTAATATTAATTAGAAATATTCAGTGTTATAGCTTTAGAACAGAATATCGTTCGCCTTTACTTTGACTTAAATATTTACAAATAAAAATACATCTACTAAATAATCCCCTCATTAATTAATTTCTATATTATAATTTCATATTATAATCCAAGTATAGCTGTTCATAAGCACTTTAAAGCACCAGAAAATCTGATAATCACCCGAAATATGGCGCCCGTCAAAATTTTGTGGCTAATTGCATAAATATTTTGGCAACCATCAGAATTTTGTGACGATTAGCATAACTTGCAAATTTATAACAAACCATTATATTTTTTATAATGATCACTTTAACTTGCAAATTTATGGCAACTGTCAAAATTTTGTGACAATCACCATAAATGAAAATCTTCGACTGCAAGAATATTTTCCCCAAAATCTTTCTAAATGGGGTCAAAATTTAAACCGTGGCACTAAATGATCCTATTTGTGCAACTCTACCTTTTTACACTTTTGACCCGTAATCTAACCCAAGGCCCACAACCCGAATTAGACCTATACCCCTTTCGAAATTCATAAAACTGTTTCAATACTCCGAAGCGAGAGACAGTGACGATTCTCTTTTCAATTCACAGCTCAAAATCTCTCTTTTTACCTTCGTTTTCGATCTTCTCTGTCATTCTAATCAGCCATGGGTTCTGGTAATTTACTCTCATTTACCTCAATAATTTTTTTGTTAATTTTCTGTTTAAACAAAAATACTTTATTTAATCCGATTTTGTGAATATAAATGTGTGTGTGTATGTGTGTTTTTGAAGATGCGGATATGGAGGATTATGGATTCGAGTACTCGGATGAGGAGCCCGAAGAGCAGGATGTTGATATTGAGAACCAATACTACAACTCCAAAGGTTTTTTTTTTTTCAAGTTTAAATTTTTTGTAGAGAACATGTGTTATAATTTTGAAATTTCAATGTCATAGATATGCTGATAATTCTTTTTTGCTTTATGTACATGGGCTATGCAAAATTGTGGTTTTATGTTATTTTCTTTTATATCCTTGGTGTTTGGGCCAAGTTTGCATGCACCTCGACTAATTCAGTGGGTACCTGCTACCTCCCACTCTATCCACCGAGGCTTGGACAAATGGAAAGAAACCTTCTACTGTTTTTGCCCCGGGATTTAGACTTCATGATCTCAAACAATGTGGTACTGTGCTATTATCTTATTAGTTGTCTTAGGAGAGGAAAATGGGGTGTGGACTCTCAAAGAGGCATTTGATTTGGCCAATGTATTAATTCAGAATTCTAATTTGATTGTTAGGTTTTACCATTGAACGCATTATACTTAAGAAATTATGGTTCAAAATCAACAACTAACAACAACAAACCCAGTGTAATCCCACAAGTGGGGTTTGGGGAGGATAGTGTGTACGCAGGCTTTACCCCTACCTTGTGAGGGTAGAGAGGTTGTTTCCGATAGACCATCGGCTTAAGAAACACAAACAGGAAGCAACCAACAATAACAATACAAGAAAAAGCAAAGACGCTATGTGTAATAACAAAGATCTAGGAACACGAAAATGTAAGAATAGTACTAATATTACTGGTACGATTAGGAGAAACTCTTAACTACCTATCAACCTACAATCCTAATTCTCGACCTTCATACCTTTCTACCGAGGATCATGTCCTTGGTAAGCTGAAACAATGCCATGTCCTGCCTAATCACCTCTCCCCAATACTTCTTTGGCCTACCTCTACCCTTCCTCAGACCCGCCATGGTCAACCTCTCACACCTCCTAACTGGGGTATCGATGTCTCTCCTCATCACGTGCTCGAACCATCGCAGCCTCGATTCCCGTAATTTGTCTTCCACATGGGCCACTCCTACCTTATCCCTAATAACTTCATTCCTAATCTTATCTTTCCTGGTATGCTCACACATCTATCTCAACATCCTCATTTCTGTTACTCTCATCTTTTGGACATTTCTTGACTGGCCAACACTCAGCACCATACAACATGGTCGGTCTAACTATCGCTGTGTAGAACTTGCCCTTAAATCTTGGTGGCACATTCTTATCACACAAAACACCAGATGCGAGCCTCCATTTCATCCACCCCGCTCCGATACGATGTGTAACATCCTCGTCAATCTCCCCGTTGCCTTGGATAGCAGACCCAAGATAGTTGAAACTATCTCTCTTGGGAATGACTTGTGTAACAAGCTTCACGTCCACTTTTGCTTCGTGCATCCCCTCACCGAACTTGCACTTCCAAGTATTCTGTTTTCGTCTACTCAACTTGAAACCTTTGGACTCCAGGGTCTGTCTCCAAACTTCCAGCCTAGCGTTAACCCCGCAGCGTGTCTCGTCAATCAGCATTATATCATCTGCAAATAACATACACCATAGCACCTCCCTTTGGATGTGTCGCGTCAACACATCCATTGACATAACAAATAAAAATGGTTCAAAATGTAATATTTAAAAAAAAATTAGGGATCTTTACACAAATAGCAAAGATTCAGTATTTACTTTTCCTAGCTGGTATGAATATATATAGTTATCCATATGTTATACATTTATTATATATATTATACATGTACGGGCTATTTTTAGGTTAAGCGGTTGGGTGGATGACTATTTAGGTTAACTAGTATAGCACCTGTGCTATGCGCGGAGAATATAAATCTTGTTGTGTGATCTAATTTGTTTGACCATATTATATCATATTGCTTGAATTAAATTTTAATTTTCTTTTTCTTATCCAATGAAATATGACCAATAAGAAAATCGGATGAAATTAGAAAAAGATTCATAATAGTCATCGAATAACTTTTCGGTTCCTCACTTTTCTTTATTACATAATCTACTATATTTATTATTATTTTATTTTTTATTATGATGTTTTATTAGCTTGTTACTTGTCTTAATATTTTTGTTAATTATCTCTTTTTAATATAATTATATTATATATATGAAAAAAAATTTCTTACTCCTAAAACTTTTTTTTGAAACATTTTTTCCATTGTACATTTTCATTTGAATTCGTCAAAAATATAAATTAATTTTTTCTTTATTAGTTATAATCTACCAATTTTTTAAATAGTTGGCATTTTTCTATTGGGGCGGGATGGATGAAATGGAGACTCGCTTCCGGTGTTTTGGGTGACAAGAAGGTGCCACCGAAACTTAAGGGTAAGTTCTACAGAGTGGTAGTCATACCAACGATGTTGTATGGGGCTGAGTGTTGGCCAGTCAAGATCGCTCGTGTCTAGAAGATGAAGGTAGCAGAGATGGGGATGTTGAGATGGATGTGCGGGCACACCAGGTTAGATAGGATCAGAAATGAGGTTATTCATGACAAGGTGGGTGTGGCCCCTATTGAGGATGAGATGCGGGAAGCGCGACTTAGGTGGTTTGGTCATGTGAGAAGGAGGAGCACAGACGCCCCGGTGAGGAGGTGTGAGAGGTTGATAGTGGAGGGCCTACGGAGAGGTAGAGTTAAGCCAAAAGAAGAGGTGGGGAGAGATGATTAGGCAAGACATGGCGCAACTTCAGCTGACCGAGGACATGACCCTTGATAGGAAGGTATGAAGATCGAGGATTAGGGTAGTATAGTAGGTAGTCTAGAGTGTTCATAACAATAATATTGGCACGCAGTCTCGCTTTCTGTTGGTAGTAGGTTTTTATGACTAACCGTTCTTTCTTTCATTGTTGATCACATTACTATCTAGTTGTTTTTATTCCGTTTTTATATGGCTTCTTGATACTGTCCCTTCTTGTCTATATTTTCATTAATGTGGTGTTTATGTTTTCCTAAGTCGAGAGTATTGGAAACAACCACTCTATCCTCACAAGGTAGGGGTAAGGTCTGCGTACACACTACCCTTCCCAGACCCCACTGTGTGGGATATTACTGGGTATGTTGTTGTTGTTGTTGTTGTAGTATTATATGCCTAGAAATTAAGTTTTACTTTTCATTTGATGTCTTAGTAAAATTTTAATTTTTAAGATTTAATTATTAAATTTAATTATCTTTTAAAACTATGCTTTATTGCTTGATATTCTTTCATTACCTAATATTTTTGAATTTTGACTTTATCTATTAAGATTTAAGTTATGTGATATTTTAGATATGTACGATTTTTGTCATTATAACTCAAAAACGCTTTCTGATTTGAAATTCTAATACATATTATCATTTTATATTTTATACCATTTTTTCTTCTTTTGTTTCTTTATTGTTATTGATTTATTTGTTGCATTATCATGTGAATTTTTATTAGTTTGTTTTTAGATTTAATGTCCTTGCTTATTACCTCATTTAATTTTAATATAATATAGATTTCCTATAACATAGATAATATAGATTTCCTACTCCTAACAAAGCTGATTATTAATTTAATACTCTTTTACTTGAAATTCATTCAGTGTTCTATATCTTTTTTTATTTTTGACTTTATCTATATACAAAATCTCGAAATGATATAATGTAATAAGAATATTAAAGATTATGTATTTTAACTTTTAAGTTTTTTTAGCATGCCAAATTATCTATACAAATCTATAATATAGATATAGATTAAATTTTGTAATAGAATCTAGTTAAATGTAGCCTTTAAAGTGCGAAGTAGTATTTTCTCTATATGATACTTGACTTGACTTCATGCTTCACTATCACCATATTAGGAAAAAACTACTCCTCAATTTGAATTGACAGTTTTTTTCTTCTTATTATTTTCGTTTTTATTTTAGAATAATTTTAAAACTCCAAATTTATTGACTCAAAGAGAGTAGCTAATTATTAACAACACATAATGCATAGTTTAAATTTTTTAAAATTTAAATTTAAAAAAAACTAATTATTACCTAACTTAACTGACTTTGTCCTAAGTTTCCAAGTGGCCTATTGTGAGGTTGCGACTTAGCTTAATGTGGAGGCTTTTTTCTCTCCTTTTAATAATAATATAGATAGATATAGATTTTTTTATTTTATATATTATTCTATTATTTTCAATAATATTTTCTGAATAAATAAACTTTTTATTTTTAGAAAAAAACAAAAATTATTAAATCGGTCCATGGATTTTCCTTCCTTTTCTTTTGTCGCATTTCGCTCAAAGGGTTGAAGGGAGATAGTGCATGTTCATAAGGGCCAACTCGATCTTCTTCCCCAGAGATCTCAGATGAGGGAACCCTGGGAGAGCCGCCGACTCCAACTACCGTCCATGTACGATCCATATTAGATCTTACCAACTGCCCATCCTACCTCCTCTTCGTTCTTGACAACCCATCTTTGTCTCAATAGAGTCTTTCAGTGGCACGTTTCGGTCCTCTTCCCCATTACTTAGAAAAAGTGAGCCATTTTAAATTGGCAATTTTTTATTTTTTATAATTTTAGTTTTTTATTTTAAAATAATTTTAAAACTCCAACTTGAAACTACTCTCCAATTTGAATGGACAGTTTTTTTAAAATTTTTTTGTTTTTTATTATAAAATATTTTATTTTATTATTTTATAGATATTTAAATTCAAAAACAATAACCAATAACTAATTATTAATTAAATAACTAATAATTAACTACGTATGCCATGAGGCTTTTTTCTAGACTGTCACTTGGTTTAAGGAGAGGGCTTTTTCCTCTCTTTTTACTAATATATAGATTCTTAAAAAATGTAGTGATTTTTTAACATATATATCTATATCTTTGCATAAAAATATTGAGTTCAGTTGAACTCGTTGTTTACATGCTACATCCGTCTTTGTGTATTATGTCTGGACATTGGAACAAAGGACATGTGTTGTAAGTAGTTTGTAGAGTTAGTGAAAACTAATCGGGCACTTGAGTTTATTAAGGAAAAAGGCGGAGTAATAGACAGGCGTTCATGGTTAGTTCAAGTGGCAAAGATTGAGGGACTTGTGACTTAAGTTATAAAATCGAGTTCGCCCCCTGCAAACTAAGACCGATATATAAGTGGATAAGGGTAGAGGGACGGATCCATTATACCCGAGTTTCGAAGACTACGATTGATCCTAAGAGTCAGCCCCATACCTAGGCCATCACCGAAAAAAAATCGCCCCAGACTGCAATTGATCCTAATGGTGTGGTCTAATGGTCAATGAAGTGGGTTGAGAACCATGAGTTCTCACGTTAGAATCTCAGGGGATGTCAAAATTGATCACATCAACAATAACGTCACCAATATGAGCATATCGACGATTGCTAGCTCCTATGATTCGAATACACATCAATTTTTGAGCCCCGCTGTTATCGCTACTTTTAAATGCGTCTGAGGTTGAATCATTTTTTTAATCCGTTCTTTGAATGCAAAGGGCGAAGAAAAGAAAAAAGAAATATTTTTGTCCAAAAAAAAAAGAAACATGCGGTTTTGTTTCATATCAAAGATCTTATTCAAAGAGAAAGATCTCAAATATTTGGAATTTCTTTTTGTATATTATATGGATGATCCGATGCGCAAGGACCATAATTGGGAATTGTTTGATCGTCTTTCTCTGATGAAGAGTCGAAATAGAATCAACTTGAATTCAGGACCGCTATTCGAAGTCTTAGTGAGACATTGGATTTCTTATCTCATGTCTGCTTTTCGTGAAAAAATACCAATTGAAGTGGAGGGTTTCTTCAAACAACAAGGGGATGGGTCAACTATTCAATCAAATGATATTGAGCATGTTTCTCATCTCTTCTCGAGAAACAATTGGGCTATTTGGGTTGTAAACCATGAGGTCTCAGGTTAGAAACTTAGGGGAGGTAAAAAACTAGGTGATTTCTTCCCATTTGTCAAAACCTTAGTAGATAGAGTTACCGGTACTTTTGCCGGTGGGAGGTAGCAGGTATCGCTTGGATAGTCAAGGTGCGCACAAGCTGCTCCGGACACCACAGTTATCATTAAAAAAGAAGATGAAAAGTTCACTGATTATGTTTATTGGTAAAAGGGCACTTGGAGGGGACTTGGAAGGAAGCTTAGCTCGGTAGTCTCTCTTGAGATTTCTGGGTCATTATATTGATTTTGCTTTGCTTTAGTTTCTGTTACTGGGGTTTTATTGCTCACTTGTATCATTAGGTTAAGACGTTAAGTACAGGAGTAGTACTTTATTTATAGAAAATTGGAGTATGGTAACAGTGCTGTTTTGCTCACTTGCATCCCATCTCTTTCTATATGAGGGCACCTATGAAGTGGGAGTTCTATGTGAAGAATTTGGTGCACTCTGTTCTGTCTTATTGTGGAAGTTTGTGCATTGCCCTATGTGAAAGAGATCTTTGTTTAGTACAATTTCTTTTCCCAAAGGTTCCATTTGAATGTGATGACATACGATGGTGGAACTTGCCAGTAAGTTGCTTAGAGATTAAATAACCTTAAAAAAGAAACATACTGTAGCAGTAGTAGCAACAGCAAAAAACCAACAGCTGAACCCTGTAAAGTACTCCGTGGTTGTTAGCTGGTATAGTCATGCTATACCCCATGTAGTGGTGTTGATTTTATCAACTGTGTGCATACTCTATATATGCATCTTGACTACTTATCTTGGGCTAATAGCTCTTTTCCTTGTTCCTCTGTCTTCTCACCTGGTTACAAACTGATATCTGTGATTATAGGCTTGGTTGAAACAGAACCGGAGGCAGCACTTGAGGGTTTTGCTGAAGTAGTTCGTATGGAACCTGAGAAGGCTGAGTGGTAAGGAGTTGAAAGTTATATGCTTTTTGTGCAGTGTTGTAGCTGGTAAATTGTTCAGCTAACTCCCTTGCATGTTTGCTTTACCTATATAAAGAGAATAGACGAGCTGTGTATTTGTGAGATTTGTGATGCTGGAGATTGATGTGATGGATCTGTTCCATGTGAACCTCACGGTCCTTAGCAACTGCACTTTCTCATTGAGTTAATAATTAATTTTCTATCTCAAGCAAACTACTACTCCACAGTTTTGTTTTATTAACAGGCAGCCTAAGACTCAAGCAGGGGTTGAACTAAGAGAAACAGTCTTATATGGCATATGTAGGAAAAACTCCAGTTATTTTATTAAGCTATATCGTTATCTTACAAAACCTGTGGGGGGGGGGGGGGGAAGATACAATATATGCCATGTGTAGATGATTGTGCGACAGAAACTGGAAAGACTATCAAGTTTCTCCTTTTCAATCTCTCACTCCTGTTTAGTTTACGCGTATGACTTAATAACTTTTCAGAAATTGTTGGTATGAGCACTTAAAGGTGAGACTTCTCTAGTTGATTGTCAGATCTGATAGTGCGTAGACACACTTTGTCATTGTAGGCCAAAAGGTGTGGTACTGTTAAGACATTTGCTTCTCGTTCATGTGATTTGATACTTCTTAGAGACACTGTAATGTGATTTGATGCTATTTCACACATTAGCTTCTTGTTTCATGTGATTTGATACTTTTTAAGCAAAGGTCTCCCACAAGTTTTAAGATTCTCTAGAATATGCTTTTGTATGAAACTAATCAACTGTTCTTATTGTTTTTCAGGGGATTCAAAGCTTTAAAGCAAACTGTTAAGCTTTACTATAAGCTTGGGAAGTACAAGGAAATGATGGATGCTTACAGAGAGATGCTAACCTACATTAAATCAGCAGTGACAAGAAATTATAGTGAGAAGTGTATTAACAATATCATGGATTTCGTCTCTGGATCAGCTAGTCAGAACTTCAGCCTCCTACAAGAGTTCTACGAGACAACATTGAAAGCCCTTGAAGAGGCAAAGAATGAGGTCAGAACAATATTCCTTCCCGCCGGTGTAGTAGGCTGGATTTTAAGGTTCATACTTGAGTTTATGTCTGTTTTGTCAAGGGTCTCATAGTGTCCTTCTTTTGCAGAGGTTGTGGTTCAAGACAAACCTAAAGCTTTGCAAAATTTGGTTTGACATTGGGGAATATGGGCGAATGAGTAAGGTAGCATTCTTTTTCAGATTAGTATCTGCAGTTATAGTGACACTCGATAAATTTTCCTACCAATAACTTTAGTATTCAATTAGATTTTGAAAGAACTCCACAAGTCTTGTCAAAAAGAAGATGGCACTGATGATCAGAAGAAAGGTACGCAGTTGTTGGAGGTGTATGCAATTGAGATCCAAATGTATACGGAGACGAAAAATAACAAAAAACTGAAGGTATGTTATAACCTTTTTATGATACTGGGTTTTTTGCACCTTTAGTGACAATCCTCTTAGTTGATATGGCCTAAATATCCATCTCTCTATTTAATGTCAGGTTCATATGTAGTTCTTTGTTCTAAGTTACTCTCTGGTTTTATTTTGTGCTTTTACCACCTTTTTTAAAAAAAAATCTTTTCCCACTGCGAAACCAGTTGTTATACTTCATCTAGAAGGTAGTGAAAGACGTCTCCAAAAGAGAAAAAAAAAATGATCAAACTTTCACAGAAGATGAGAGACTTTCTACATCTATATATTTGTATAGAGGGTAATTAAATGCCCATTTAACTGCCTTCAAGAGGTGCAGCAAAAATTCAAAGATGAACTCCCCTCTTTAATTCTATGCTACTAAAGAATCTGTCGACATGGAATTCCAACTCTGTTAAATTGGAGATTCAGTGCTTCCAAATTTTATCTCGGAGGCTTCAGGCTTCTCTCCTCTATCTTTTAATATGCCTTGTTCATTATTTTGTCATTTTCTTATTTTGATTCTGGATATGTCATAAAGATCTAATTTATTCATTAAAGAGGATGCATGAATGCTGGAAGACATACTGAAACATGTCCGTGAATAGCTCAATTGCTTTTCTTTTTATCACTAATTGTTGCCTACTGAGATTCTCAAACAAATGTATATAATTTCAGGAGCTATACAACAAAGCACTTTCAGTCAAGTCGGCGATTCCTCACCCAAGAATAATGGGAATAATTCGTGAATGTGGAGGAAAAATGCATATGGCAGAGCGGCAGTGGGCAGAGGCAGCTACAGACTTCTTTGAAGCTTTCAAGAACTATGATGAAGCCGGGAATCAGAGGCGCATCCAGTGTCTAAAGTATGTATGCTGTTTATCATTGTGCTTGTTATACTCCTTGTTTATTCTGGCATTTTCTTCTGGGTTAGGACATATGGGAAGAGTATATTTGGAAAAAAATGAATCTCTCATAGACTACAAAAGTTAACATCTTCAACTATGTGATATTTTTTTTTTACTAAGAATCATCTAATGATACTTGAGAAAAAAGATTTAAGGTCATCGTCTGGGTTTGTTTTGTTGTTGTTACCTATGCTTCTTCTGACACATGCACTTTAATGCATTTCTGAATACAGCTTCATTATGTGATTTCTTTGACATTTTTTCATTCAAGGGAGGATGTGTCAGAACTTTCTTAATTGCATTATAACATAGAATTTATCTCTTCACCTCAGTTGTTATGTGGACCCAGAAAATTATTTTGCAGATTTCACCTTCATTTCTCTCCTGCGCTCCGGCAAAGAAACATTGCCCTTCCTAATATTTGTAGTCATTTTGTTTCATCTTACAGGTACTTGGTTCTGGCAAATATGCTGATGGAGTCTGAGGTAAACCCTTTCGATGGCCAAGAAGCAAAACCGTGAGTAGTCAAAGAGTTTTCTCTTCCCTTTTTTTTTTGTATAAAGAGATTGACCTGTATTCTATGAGTTTTGTTATTGGAGTCACTCGAGGAAGTACTGCACCTTAACTAAATTGCATTGCTATTGGTGCTTGACTGTATTTATACTTTTCAGCTACAAAAATGACCCTGAAATACTTGCAATGACAAATCTTATAGCAGCATATCAACGAAATGAGATCTTGGAGTTTGAGAAAATTCTGAAGGTGCGGCTATTAGAATATTGCTTCTATAAGTCCTTCAATTTGTAGTTATTATCATTCTGATTGTGCTTTTCATGGAATCCNGGGGGGGTTGGCAGGGCAAGGGAAGATTGAACAAGGTGTTAGTTTATCAACAAACTATCTTCAAGATGGGATAATGGTGGTGTACCACTTAGGGCTGGCAAAAATGGCCCAAGGCCGCCCAACCCGCCCAATATTTCATGGGTTGGGCATGATATAATTTTCTGATGGGCTGACTTTGGGCATAGCCCAAGTGCAACCCGTGAAATCAGATGGCCCAAGTGCAACCCGTGAAGGAACCCAAAGCTAACCCGTGCCCAGGTTTTAATGACAAAGAAGAAGATGATGAACTCACAAATGAAATTCTCTTTGCTCCATTTCCCAATATCAGTTAGTCTTTCTCTATTTCGTTAATAATAATACATTCACTATTTGACTAACTCACACTTAATTACTGAATTTGTATTCAAGAAAGAACTGAAAAATATTGTTTTCATGTTTTTTTTTGTTTCAGAAAACAATGCATAATGTTAAGTCTAATAAAATATGTAAACAAATAGACCTAGAAGTATTAGCTATTTTTTTTTCATTCTTTAGAAAATTATTAGACTAGAAAATAATAGCAAAATATAAAGAATTTTCTGATTGGTTTTGATTAAATTATTTCTTTTTTTGATAAGGTCAAATTAAATTATTTAGATAATCACTAAATATCGGTGTTACATTAATTAATTTTATTAGAGAAATATGTGAGTACTAGTAAAACTTATGACTAACAAAATCTAAAACGTCAACAACTCAACATAATTAGTTATGTGATGTCAAATTCTGAAATGTTTGCACTATTATAAAAATTTGCAATGGATTGTTTTGCTGCTGCAATTTCACGAGAATAATTACATACTAGTTAAACTATGCTTTGAAAATTTGTAATGAGAAGATTGAAATTGTATTGTTGATTTACATTGGACAAATGTAAAAGTTGATAACATTGTAAAATTTTGGATCAAACTGGACGGGTTGGGTATTGACCCATTTATTGGTTCAACCCATCCTAACCAGCCCAAACATAACCCATTTGCCACCCCTAGTACCACTTTACCAGATAACGTATCCGAATTTGGGATATTCGTATATTAGCCAGGCATATTCTCGTTGGTTCTTATAAGTATCCATCGTCTTGTGCTTTATCATGAACTATTGTTACTAAGCTGTGCGTGTAATAGAATTCCTAATTGGCTGCTATTACCTAACATGCAGGAGCTTAATGTGCCAGAAAAAGACGTTGAGGAGTTGTTGGTATCACTGATCTTGGACAACCGTATCCATGGGCACATTGATCAAGTGAACCGGTTGCTAGAGTGTGGAGACAGGTGAAACACTGAACTCGATGTTGTGATAATTTGGTTGTTTTTGGCTGACATTACATCTAATTTGTTTTTCATGCTTTTACGCGTGCAGATCGAAAGGAATGAAAAAATACGCTGCCATTGACAAATGGAACACACAACTAAAGTCACTATACCAAACCGTTGGCAACAGAGTATGCTGAGAGTACCCTGACATGAAAAGAGTAGAGTGATTATATTATAGACTCTTAATTGTTTTTTTTTGGGTTATTTCTGAACTGAACGGGATTCATGTTCTGAAATATTACAATGTTTAGCTGCTCTTTTTGACATGTAGGTTTTATGTACAAAATTCGATATTTCTTCCCCCTTGTTCGAAGAAAAATTTTGTTCATTGGATTGGTGTAAACATGGGACGCTGGCCGCTGTTTAAAAACCGAAGAGAAACCAACGGAGTATTGAGCCGCGCATGTCAAAGCAGTGAACTATTAAATAGCAAGAGCTTTTATCTGATTTGTGTTACTTTCTGCTTCTACTCTGTGACGACCAAGCAGCGATGAATTGCTGCCAACGCAAACGAAACAATTTAATTTTCTACTCCCATCTCATTTTTTTTTTTTTTTTTTTTTTTTTGAATTATACTAGCTATCTGGAGAATTCTTTTTTTTTTTAATCTTTTTTGGTGAACATGGAATATTTATTCATTACTAAGTAGCGGAATTACGTAGTATTGACATCCATTGGAAATTTGGAATCGTCAATAGATTTGAGTAACATCCCTACTGAGATAACTAAACTAAGACCACTCAATTTTCCAAGCATAGACAAATTATTACAAACAGAACTAGAAACATTTCTAGTAATAGCTACTCCATTGCTATCTGCGAGGACGAGAAGAATGATATTTAATGATAAATTTATTCACGTATAATCTTTTTTCCATGAAAAAGTTGAGCATTCATGGTATGCTTGATTGGAGAAAGAAAATGTTTTTCAATTTCCATTGGTTAAAGATGTTTTTTTTTTCCTCTCGAAAATCAAGTTCCTTAAAAATCAGAAAAATGACTTTCTTGATAGGAGTAGGTAAAACAAGTTCCATAAATGAGTATTCTACGTAGGGGTGTTCATAAAAACCCGAAAAAACGAAACATACCGACCAAAAAAATCGATATTTTTTAGGTTTGGTTTGGTTTTGGTTTTGAATTTTATAAACCGATCAAATTTGGTTTGGTTTTGGTTTTAATCAAAAAATAACCAAACCAAACCGACTATAGAAGTAGCTATTTAAATTTATTATTATACCTATATATATATATATATAT